CCTAAAGTTAGTCCAGTAAATCCTCCTTGTTTTTAGTTCCATAGTTGACAGTGAATATGTTACGCGCCATAGACTGAGTGATATTAGGAACGCGTACGTACTACGTTGCTGACGTGGAAAGGAGATTGCGCTGGCGGTGGAGGGTAGGTTTGACTTCACAAGGCTTCGCCACATGGAGAACGCCATACAGACCGTGATTGGCCACCAGCAACGGCGTTGCTAGATTCTAACTGATGAAGCTGCAAAGATAACCTCGTATAATTTTATTCTTTTGTAATAAAATTGTTTTCTCTTTTTTTTCACTCCATTTATAACCATACTTAGAATTTAGGTCGTATGTTTCCCGCAACGATGGTTGAATCCACTGCTGCGCACGATGCCAAGTACGTGCATGGGTCGACTGCTTGCAGGTTTATCACAGTTGAGATGTTATTAATGGGCAGAGACATCGCCACTTCACGCGAGATCACAGGCACTTGGAGAACCGGTCTCACTAAAAGAATAATGGTAAATAAAACACGAATGTATTTATACCAAAGTCTTAATTGTTTTCATCTACTCCCTTCGCCTACTTATTGCCGATAACTTGCTGTAAAATGACCGTTCAAGATGCTCCTTACAACACACAAGTACACCGCACGCACACGCTGTGCACAAAACAACATGAATTAACTCAGAGGTACTCTTATACTCTGATTCTCTTAAAAGCAGAAAGAATAACTCTATTATTGACGGCATTTGCAGAAGGTTATTGCAACAATAGAGCGAAGCGCAAGAGGTAGAGAACATTAGACTTTGGTAGTAAATTATATTTCGTGTTTATTTACTTTTTTATGAAACGCTCAAGTGCTGGTCGACGCGGGATAGGTATTTTGGTCACGCAGTAGTGGCGTTTTACCAGGGACAGACGTCCTGCTGAGGTACGGAGTCCGTTTTATTTTCTGTCGAGCGAACAAAACTTTTTCTAGTGCGTTAAATACTTAGATATCCTATAGAATCAGAATGTTTGTAAGCGAAAGTATGATTCAAGAGTACGAGAAAAATAGTTTTGAATCCGAATTGCGTTTGTAAGATTGGACCTTCGCAACGCGTTAACCGCGCATTGCAACGGACCAGACGCGGGCATTAGTATTATAGAAATGCAACGTCACTTATTTATTCAGTAAATTGTTTAATTTTGTTACACCTATTCAAAGTGTTGAGAAACTTAGTGTTACCCAATGAAGCGTGAAGATTCGCGCAAAGGAATAATTCTATCTGATCTATATGAGCACTAAAATATTAATTCTGCGAGTTTAACACTACCGACTTGTTATTTGTGTCAAATTGGCGAATTCGGACCAACTTCACAACTATAAACGCAAACAGCCGGCAATGTAACGCCAAAAGTTCTGGTCGACGGACAGCGACCGATAGCAACTAACTTGGCGAGATTAGAAACATGTTCTATTTTGCCACTCAGAGTTTGCCCAAATTGCCAAAATTGCGTCAACTCGGCCAATCGGACCAACACAAAGTCGGTAGTAGTAAACTTAGCTTTAGTTAGAGACTACACAATCTGATCACCTTATCAATGCTCTCTGCAACTGTTTTGCTGGAATTCGGCTTGCTGACTCCACTGACCTGTACCACACCTCAGTGGGCAGCAGCAGCTTCTCTAACAGCTACGACGTTCAGCAGTCCACAGTGTTGGTCATGGCGTCGCGATAGCAGCACGTAAATGACCCACTAGCGTGCCACGATATTTGGCAGTAGCTTCTGGTTTCGCGCCGCTAGCATCGCCAGACGTGCAAGGCTTCTGGGTACCAGGAAAGGCTTCCCATTTTAAAAACTGGACAGAACAGAAACGCACTGCATCTGCTTGCATAGTGAAATAGGAAAGCCTTTTTAGAATTTTGTTTTGCACCGAGTTGCATGTTTCTCTACTATATGCAACTTGAGTAATTTTCACAACACGGATAGGCCTTTTCGCATCATAAGCCAGCAGAAAGCATTTGCCAAGGTCTGCTGTGTCTTTCAGGATCCATCCCAGTCACATCTATTCCAACCCATGACGGTGGCTTTTAATATCAGGGAGCTTATATAGATGACAAGCACAGCGATACATAGCCATGAATCGAGAATGCTTAAATTACGTGAAGTGTAAAATTCTTGTAGACCCCGGACTCCAATCACTGACGTGGCTAATCCACACGAAAGCACACGGCACGTACGCCCACGACGACTCACGCACAGTACGCACACGCAATAACCCCGGCAAGTACGGACAGCATAACGCAGTACGCAACACCGATACCGCACGGTAACCGGGCCACGACATTACGCACGGTGTACGCACAAGCACACGCATACGGCACATAGCACCACGCTACGCACGTACGCACAACGCTATACGCACAGCGCACACGATACGCACGTACGCACACGCACATGCATACGCACGTACGCACGTACGCACGTACGCACGTACGTACGTACACGCACGTACACGCATACGCACGTACGTACACGCACGCATGCACGCGAACGTACGCACGCACGCACACGAACGTACGCACGTACGCACGGACTCACGCACACGCACTCACACGCACGCACGCACACGTGCGCAGGTACACATGTATGCATGTACACATATCCCCCCGTGCATCTAAATTTCCTGATTCAAGGTTTTCTCACTTGGCATGGCCTTTCAACCTGGCGAAGGAATGTGAAGCTAACCTCTCTACATAGCTACTGTTCCAGTCATCGGTAACACGTTTCTCTCACGTTTTATCATTTCTCTGCATTCAAAAATCACAATTTATTGGATACCGCTATTTAGCTGCTGCCTTATGCTAGATCTTTTAGTAATTAACCTCTGGTAGCTGCAGCCTGTTAGCTTTGGAAATGTTCCAGTTATTTTGTACTGACTAGAGAGTTGCATGTGCAGACTAACATACGCACCAGTCCATAGAGCACACTCTCACACAGGCCATCTTGCTTTATGAGTGATAGTGCTCGTAGTGTGCGGACAGGCAGATAGGGGGCGCTAGGTCTTGCACTGCAGCTGGAAGGCAGGCTGCGCAGCGGTGTCTCCTGGTGCAGTTTCTTGGCAGATAGATAAAAACCAATGTGAGAACTGTGGCGCAATGAACGGACCGAGCAACAAATGTAGCACAATGAACGAGTGACACAACGAATGAGTGTAATACCCTGTCACACCTACCCGCGATCACGCTCGCGCTCCCACTGCGACCTGAAAAGTATGAAATCGCGAGGAAAAGCGCAGTAAGGTCTCTGAGAACGATTTGGTGACGCAGTGGAAACTGTCAAGGACGGAAGAGGGTCGTCATGAGCTACCTTGAACGCCAAACATCGGCGCTTGTTTTGAGCATGCTGTAACACGCGGTATAATGACGCAGTACAATTGCCATGGCAGTGCAAAGCGAACTACATGAGCGTATCGTGGACGTAGCAACAACGCATAGAACGCAATGAGAGCGTAAGAGTCAAGAGCATACTGTAAGCTACTGTTAAGCTACCTGGTGTCATGGATTTCACAATTTTCGGCAATGTCACTGCGCTTTAGTGAAAATGTTCAAAGTCCGGGAGCGTAAAGCGGTCGCCGGCTGATCGCGGTTGGTGTGACAGGGGTATTCAAGCCCAATAACAAGAACGATACGGTTCAATGAATGATTAGGACAAGAAGCAGCATGTCGGTCAACGAATAAACGCGACAAGCAATAGATGTTTTAACGAATGCAAGTGGCAAGTAATAAATAGTTCAACGAATGAATGGGATAAGACCAAGAGCTAATAATACATTAAGGTATTATCCGCTCTTGATAAGACATAGATGAGTCAAGGAATAAGATGGGCAAGAAATAGCTAGTTCAACGAATAAATGATTGACGCAAACAATAGATGGTTCCATGAATGAATTATACAGAGGATAATTGGTTCGTTGAACAAATGGGATACGAAATAAACGGTTCAACAAATGATTGGGATGAGATAAATAAGGAATGGACGATGAATAGAATGAGTGGGGCAGGGAATCGATGGTTTAAAGAATGAGAGGGATAAGAAATAGATGGTTCCAGGAATAAATGAATGATAAAAAAATAGGTGGTTCAATGAATGAATGACACAATGAATAGAATAGATAGTTCAATGAATAAATAAATGAATGATAAAAAGGATAGGTAGTTCAATGAATGAATGAATGGATGAATGAATGAATGAGGCAAAGAATAGATTGGTTCAGCGAACGAGTGGTGGCAAGGAATAGATGGTTCAACGAATGAATGGTGGCAAGAAATAGATGCTTCAACGAACGAATGGTGGCAAGGAATAACTAGAGAGGGTAAGGAATAGGCAGCACAACGAAAGAATGTATGGTGGAAGGAATAAACAGTGCATGGAATAAATTCATGACACAAGGGATGAGTGACACAACAAGTAAATGCTGCAAAGAATACATTGATTACGGAAGAACATAAAGAACATACGTATACGGGACTGAGTATAATTTATCACATGATTATATAATTTCATGATTAAATAAGGAAACGAACATTGCTGGCAACCAATGTAAATTCTAAACTACACCTAACTATATAATAAGAAGTGAAAATGACATAGCCGAAGGGTTTTTACATAACATGAAGCGAAGGGAATGAGACTTGGATCAAGTATTCTCTCCTGCATGTCGCACTTCAAGACCAGTGGCCACATCCTGTCCTGTGCTGTGCTGACCTCTGGCAACGTGATGTGGAGATGCTCCCTGTCCGTACCGGAATCCATGAGCCACATTTTGAAGAAGTTTTCCAAACTGAGTAGATCTGTAAGCAGATCGTATGTATGACGTATTTTATATAAACTCTCCAGATGTATGTGACAGCTCAACTCACTGTGGTGTCTGAACCACAACATGTTCTAACTACAGACGTAAAGCATAATCAACATGATAAGCAATTAGACGCAGCACTAACCTGACTCTACCTGCAGTAGCTCAAGCGTGCCTGCGGTGGCACCACTGTCACCCGAGCTGTCGGACACTTCACTCGTCTGACTGCAAGATTCTATTCCTGCTGCTTCGGTGCTGAGCAACCGAGTATCATCTCTGTCACTTAGCAACGACACGACCTGCATCTTCTGCAAACAACAAATTGCTACGTGACACCCGAGGAGCCTAGATACGGATGCATAATCATTCTAACAGGGGTTATATTGGGACATCTTCATCGGATATACAAGGAGCCACTCCATAAGAGATTTGTAACAGAGTATGAATTACTTGTTACTTGTCATTAAAGAAGCCATGTATACAGTCTGCAGGATAGGAAGTATGTCTACCATGTCTATTTAATACACAGAACTGTACATGGTGACGAAAAAATAAAGTCAACCTTGAGGTTGTCCAGATTGAGGTCTTTGATGAACTTCTCCAAAGGCTTGACCAGTGATAAACCCTGCTTGCTCGTAAACACGGTTATCTCGAGTTGTGACCACGATCCAGCCGTCTGCCGTGAGAAGACACTTAATGCAATGACTGCCTACTCTACTATGCGGCATACACCAGACATACATATAGCTATAATATTATAGTACCATGGGTCGAAATACTAAGGGGCCCACGGGCCCAATGCCCGTATTTTAAGGCTCGGGCCTGACATTTCTAATACTAGCAAGCCCGCCAGGCCAGTAGAAAATTCACCCCCAGCATGCAAAACCGTCTCCGGCCTGTAAAATTTGCCTGGCGGGCCTGTCAAATCCCTTACCTACAGGCCCGGCTGGTCTGTAAATTTTCAAACTAATTTCTACTCCTGAGTACATATATCAAGATAACCATATACATATATACCAACACATATATCATGTGTTTTGATGTACCTGTAGCAGATTTTGCGATTGTCTTTTGAACTGGCTTATGGCTTCATGAAGGCTCTGCAGTAGCACATCTGTTCCCCGGCTCGCGTCACCGGCTGCTCCCAGCCGCAGCCACTCCCCATGCTGCATGTTGCACAGCTCGACAAGGGCTGCATGGAGCCTGGTGAAACTCGAAGCACCTTTGATGTGTTGCAATGGGAAGACAACCTGTGAGTGCCCAGAGAAGACGCAGGTGTACAGCAGCTGGCACGGCACATCTACGGCAATCGATACACGGAGCGCATTCTGAATGCTATTCTCATGAATTTTCGTTTGCTTTTTCATCCTTAAATGCTTTCATCATCATTTTCAAACTGCTAGGATTTGTCAGCATTACCACATACTTTCATAAATGAACTCAATTCTTCCATAACAAAACTCGGCATTAGCTTGTAAGACTTACTTCTGGATAAGAATCTGTAGTAGCAAGCAGTCCGAAAAAAGGAACGCGACATGGTCCAGGTAAAGTGCAGACGATGGAAAACAGGTGTTCTAGAGCTTGCTGTATGTTATAGCATGTATCAGCATCAAGATCAATTCCAAAGTCAACTAACACGATATGTGCTGAAAACAATGTCAGAGATGACCATTGTGAATTCATTTTTATTGTATCTGATTACCCCTCAAATGAGTACAGCATTGCAACAAATATGTTAGTACTGCAATAAGATAACTAGAGACGTACCATACGTTAATACATATGCTATATGTTATTATATACTATATAGCTCTTTTCACCCTGGTTGCCTACTGGAAAATCATATTTTTTAAGAGTCACAACACTCTACAGACTACAGACTTCAATAGTTATGCGCGACATAGCTCTAGAGTCTAGAACTATAGGCCCTCCGCTCTGCCGCATGCGCGACAATACAGTTATGCGCAACCTAGCTCTAGTATTATAGCTCTTGTTGACTACGCCAACAGCTCAGAATGCTAGCATTGAAGTGCAGCCAATGGAGGTGGAGTCTAGTAAGTACCCGGTAGTACTCGTCTAGCCCCCCCCCCGGGGGGAACTCACCCCCACATTATGGTAGGTATGTGCCACTGGCACTGCGAAGTCAAAGTCGGGGGGTCTAGCTAGCTCTATAGTAACGCTCATAGGGTCTATGTCCCCCAGGGTACTGCCGGAACGTACCCTGGGTACGGTCCGGTATACCGGAACGTACCCTGGTCACTATTTGATATGGTTATAGGGTTAGGATTAGGGTTAGGGTTAGGGATAGGGTTAGGGTTAGGGTTTGGGTTCGGGTTAGGGAGTAGGCGTAGACGACTCCCTAGACTCGTTAGTGGAGTAGGCGAAATACGGTCCGGCATATTAGATAGTACCAGGGTACGTTTCGGTATACCGGACAGTACCCAGGGTACGTTCCGGCAGTACCCCGGGGGACATAGACCCTCTCAGCTCTAGTAACTATAGCCCGCGTACAGTTGCCGCTGGGCGGCCAGCGGCAACGCGGCAAAAGACAACATCAGTAGCCAGCGGCAACTGTACACGGGCTATACTATTAGTATTATTAGTTACTAGAGCTAGGGGTCTAGCCTAGTAGTAGTACCACTGTGACTGTACCAGTGGCAGATATGCATGCAGCATAGGTAGTAAATTTGCTACCTAATACAGCATTAGTTTTACTACTTGTATTATATTAGTAAATTGGCAGGTTATATTAGTGACAGTAAAAAGTGACACTGACAGTGTAGAGTAATCACTGACTAAGCTGAGCCAGTGAGTGCTTATTAATTTATTGACAGCTGATTAGATATCATAGTGAGAATAACGTTGTTTGTTGGTGACCATTCCAAATCCGTAAACGAGGTGAAATATGTATACTGTCTAGTATGAGGAGCGCGGTGTACGCAAACTAACCTGGTTGCCGAGTATAAGTCGACCTTTCGCCAATGTCACGATCGTATTTTTCCATGATGTGCGGCAACGGATCCAAAAAATTACAAAGAAGGTTTGGCGGTACAGCAGACGTTGTTTGACAAGCGAGTGTTTTGCCTCGCAAACATTGTTTGGTAGAGGGCGTTGTCCAGCAGGGCAGAGCATAGACTGGTACGATGTCTTTTTACGTTGATAATATAATATAGACCTATAGGCTATATGAAGAGCAAAGAGATAGGGTGTGAGTCTAGGCTAAGTGCTAAACTCAAAACCAAAACAGAGCTCTGATCAAAATGATCACATCGCCAATCAAACTATTTATTTTATGCTGTCAACTCAGGTAGGTACAGTATTATATAATATCAGACGTATGTAGACTTATAGCTATCTACACTTGATAAATGTGAGACTGATACTGATACGGATCATATGATTATAATGAGTAGGGGGCCTACGGCTTGTAGTTGTAGGGCCTATGAGTATGATCATGATGTAGGTATCATGTAACCGGATGTATGCATGATGTATTGTATGAATACTATGACATGGGCGTGTACAGGGGGGTGGGGGTCCAGGGGGTCCGGACTCATCCTTGAACCGAAAACACATCTAAGGGGGTCTAATTTCAGAAGATTTGACCCCAGACCCCCACTTCGCGTGCTCGCAAGTTTGGGTTACGCCTTACGGGTAGACCCCCCCCCCCCGGTACAAATCCTGTGCACGCTCCTGTATGATGTTACCAGGAGTAAGATAATATAGATCTATATTAGATCTATATCTAGATCTATCTAGATCTATCTATCTATCTAGATCTATCTATATATATAGATCTATATCTATATTATCTTACTCCTGATGTTACCATATGATATATATATAGGGGCCTACAGCACGTACACACGTGTACACACGTGTTGTATATATCTATGATGTCACCCACGTCCCTATAGTACTAGTAGCGCTCATAGGGTCTATGTCCCCCAGGGGGCGCCGGGTTCACCCGTCCCATAGCAGTGTCGTCCCATTGACGAAGTCGGCCAATAGACGGCCGATACGGACTCGGCCCATAATATAATATATATTATTATGTTAAATAGAATCATATATGCAGGGTTCTCCAAGCTTTTTCATTATAGCATGGCGGGGCTGCCTTTACGGTCCTAGTTTTAGCATTTTTTAGCTAATTTTAGCATGGCGGCTATGATATTTAGAGTGGCGGGTGCATTTTAGGATGGCGGGGCTCGACGATACCCTGGCGGGCCGCCAGGCTATAAGTGCTCTTGGAGAACCCTGATATGATTTAAATTCAAATAAATACTATATAGCAATAACGTTATGGCCCATAATAATGGGAAGATGGCCCCAACATGTTTACATCTGCGCATGGGAAACTACTGTTTTTGTGACTAATCAACTTAGATTTACTCGTCCTGCTATATATACATGCACACAGAAGAATGATCTTGGGCTTGGACAGAAATAGGGAAATATAATTCTGAGTAAACAAAATGATGTCGTTTAATACCCACGAAGTTAGCCGGGTATTTATACTTGAATGGTAACTTTCGTTTGATAAATTGGTCAAGATATTGGGTGATACTCCATTAGGAATGTTCCCAACTTTAATGTCATTAATGGTCATAATAACATATGGTCATGGTCATATATTAGTTTTGTTGTTTAATGTCATTTAGGTTAAGGTTAGGGTTAGGATTATCAATCTTTAATCATTAATGATATCAAAGTTGGGAACACTCCTAATGCATGGAGCGATAGCCAAGATATTGTAGAAGCTATGACTACAAGAATGGGTGAAAATGCTCAAAAAAGTGTCCTGTTTTGCCCATTATAGGCCTACCTTACAATAGGTAGGAAATTTCAATTCTGTGAACGCTGTTGTGTTTCTCATGGCGGGGCTATCTAACCTAATAGTACTAGTTATTCGTTGCCTCGATGCCAATTTTGGATACTGCAACGTACTACAGCAGAAACTAGTACTAACCTGACCAACACAGGTCTTCTAACCCTAGCAAAGACCGTTTCTTGGAGCTAGTAGTAGTGCTGAGAGGGTCTATGTCCCCCAGGTTTCTGCCGGAGCGTACCCTGGGTATGGTCCGGTATACGGAACGTACCCTGGTACTATCTAATATGCCGGACCGTACCTCGCCTACTCCACTAACGAGTCTAGGGAGTCGCCTATGCCTACTCCCCAACCCTAACCATATCAGGATGAGATAGTTACCAGGGTACGTTCCGGTACATACCGGACCGTATCCAGGGTACGTTCCGGCAGTACCCTGGGGGACATAGTCATAGACCTTATGAGCAGTACTACTACTAGTACTACTACTAGTAGTATTTCCCATAGCATATGCCGGGCTTCCTCAGTTCCTGTGCCAAAACGTCATATCAGCTGAGGTTTTGAGCTAATCAGAGGTTGGAGCAATTCCTCTGTTTAGTGATCTTGCCAGTCAGTGGCTAAAGCGTAAACGGAGGAATTGCTCAGAATACAACACGAACGCTACTTTAAACAAGGAACTCTTCGCGAAAGTTAGCAAATATTCGAAGAATCCTCTATAAAGAGTGTATAAACGTTAGAATCTTTTGAAAATAAACTATCAGGTAAGTACAGTCAGTGAGATATCTAATACAGTAAAACTCGCATAAGTCGTCATCGTCTCACTCGTCAATTCGCATAAGTCATCATGGATGTCAAAGTCTCGATTTTCTCTCATAGTAAATCCATTGGAATAGCCCCGCCTAAGTCATCATTTATAAGCCGTCATTATGTGGAAGTCGGTGCCCTCAGACAGGTCCCATGTAATACAAAACAGTAATTTCCCATCTAAGTCGTCATCAGAAATGCTGATGGCGTACGTAATGAACAATTCGCGTGAGTGGTGCGAAATTAACGTGAGTCCGGAGTAAGATACCACCTGATTTACTGTCGGACTCCAGGATTTGACATATGCAGGAGTCCGTGTGTAATGTATCATATAAGTAGTGACTCTCTGGAAATTCTGCTACACTAACTAGTTTGTTCCAGAGCACGGCCTCGCGGAATTACTGTATTTTTTCAACATGTGTTCCAAGAAAATTTGGCAGACGTGCACCGCAAATGTCCTGCAATGTCCAAGTTACATGTAATCAACAGCGGGTGTTACAGATAGAATAACAGCCGGGGGGAAATGCCGGGCTACCGACCTCTAAAAAGAACCCTGTATACTATATGTAATAATTGGTATATAATTGTAACAGCAATAATATATGAATGTATTCAGTCTATTATCAAACCGCGTTACTGGATTCAGGTATTAACAGTTTCAGTTATGATTACATCAGAGTAGAACACTGAAGTTGGCAGGCTACACAGAGGCTTACTAATTAAGTAACAGGAAGATTGTATGATGTTGTATCCACTGGTGATTATTAGCAATTGTCCAGTGCACAGTTGGTAGAAAGGTGTGTCGCATTGTAATGCATTTGTCAGCAAAATTTTCAGCTTAACACCAGACTTTAAACTGGAACACATGTATGCAATGAATTAGTAATAATATCACGGCGTGATATGCATGTTTCCAATTAGCCAATGAATCGACCCCAAACTACAGGCATAGTGCTTATCAAGTCCAAACTGATTTATTGTATTTTTATATATAATACAATTGCATAGTGCAATGACTTTTTCCAAACTAGCAAAACTGAGGAATCACTGGTAAAAAAAACGTTAACACACAAATATATTACAGCAAATGTACAACCTGTGCCAGTAGAGAAGTTGAGATCAAATCCTAGTGATCCACTGCTATCACAAATGCATAGTGCAATGACTCTTTCCAAACTAGCATACCTGAGAAATCACTGGTAAAAAAAACGTTATCACACAAATATATTACAGCAAACGTACAACCTTTAAAAAAAACGAAAAGTAAAACTTCTCTACTGGTACAGGTTGTACATTTGCTGTAATATATGTGTGTGATAACTTACCAAAAATTATCTGGAGCACTGGGAGTACCGCAACTTCAATCAAGGGCAGCATCGCCTCAACTAAAACTATTTAGTTAATCATTGCTTGGGCCGTAAATGTTCCCGCATGCCCTGAGCAGCTGGGACGCGGTCATCTCCTGGGCAGCATATTTCGTCCAGAATTGATGAAGCCTGCCCTGGAGATTCTTCGTTTGGTTGCGCTGGTCACGCACGATCTGCTCCTCACCCACCCGTGTGTGCTGTAAGTCAACGATGTCTGACTCGCGTCGCAGGAGTGGGACCAGTTTGTAAAGAGTTTGGCACTTCCCGCATAGCTGTTCATACGGGTGTGTGCCATCCTAAAAAATGATTACAAATGGATTAGGACATTAAATTTGTGAACATCAGACAAAGAACCTTGATCGTTTTGACTCGTCTTCTTGTGTTCACATTCTCATACACATATTTCTCTTCTGGTTACGCTAGAGCAGACTCCACCTAACTTGGTAGAGTTGGGACCGGTAAAATATTACTGTGTTAATCAAATACTGAGTAAGAATTTGTGTAAAACATAGTACTAAAATACATACGGAACATTTTTTTTTGCAAATCTGACGCAGGCTTAGTTTACCAAGTTAACTGGTACTGAGTAGGTCGGAGTCCACTGTGTATGATTATTGTTTAAATTAAAACTATTTACCTTCAACATCGTTGTTAGTCCTGATGGTCAGGTTGTATACATTCCAATTACTTGGCTGCCAGGTCGGATTTTAAGCCAGCTTTCACTGACGTACCTCACCAGTTGTTGAAGTTGAGGTGATGCTGCCCTCTGTTCCAGTTGTTGGAGTGCTGGCAGGATGTCAGCAGCAGGTAGAAATGGCAATGCCATCAGACTACTGATGTACGTATACTCCTGTCCCCGGAGGCTGTATGTCGTCTTGAGTCCGAGCTCCATGGTTTTCCGCCACACTGCCTGGCTAAAGTAAAACGCGCATCCTTTGATGCTTGCATTTGGAAATTCATTACGAATTGCTTTCCAAGCACCTGTTAGAATGTAGTGAAACACAGTGTAAGCCACACAAGCACATTTTATGTAAAACAGTGACATGTAAACAATTTTTATATTAAATTAAAACACCGTTAAACACGCATGTTAACTGACTTCCATAATATAATTGGAATGTGATATATTTAGATTGGGTTATATGGTTTTTTGGAGAAAATAATTTTGACCAAAAAAGTATGCTGCATATTTATTCAATCTGTGTTACGGCCGGTGACTGACAGAGATTCCAACACATATTTGAAGCAATCTGTAGTTTCTGGCCGTCAAATTAGTAGTTCGAGGGTCACGTAGTGACCCGAGTTTGCTAGGGGGGTCCGGCATGCACTCCGGAAAAATGTTTGATTCTGAGATGCATTCAGAGGGTCCTACATTCAGAGGGTCAAAAATGACAATAAATTGACAAAAAATGACAATAATTGACGAAAAAAAATAATTTCGATCACAGTGAAATTTGTAGTTTGATACAAACTGGTCGTAGTGGTGCAAAAGGAATAGAAATTCATATAAAATACGGATAAATCGTAGTGGTTGGCATCTCTGGACTGAGCATATATATGTTCCCGGGGGGGGGCACTCCACATATATTGCATGGTAGCTATGTGACGCGGGAGAGACCCCCATTTTCAACCCTAAACTTCCGTTCCAGTGCATCGCCAAGTTTAGTTACCATGTAAATCTTACATTTTTGCCGTTCCGGAGACCCTAGTTTTTAACATTTCCGTTTCAGTGCATCATACTTCCGAATACAATGAAGCTGGGCCGTGAAGGCATGCATGCAACGCAACCCCCATTTTCGAACATAGCCAGTTCCAGAGCATCCCACATTCAACAAACATTAATTAGTTCCAGAGGCCCCATTGTCAGGTCCAAGGTAGTTCCAGCGCTCCCCATTTTTGACTTTGTAGTGGCACTTACCTACCATAATATGGGGTGAGTGCCCCCCACCCCCCGGGAGCATGGTGTAATATTATGCGGAACTACTTTGTAGCCTCATCACTACGCGTATACCCGCATATGTACAATGCTTACGGAAAGTACGTAGTCCTCTCTCTGGGCTATGATTTTTCCCATGATTTCGGCCAAACATGAATAAATGTTTTATGTTCAATTATGTCTGGACATTCGATACTTGACACATGTTACTTGTACAATGTATATATATATATATATATATGTTATTACCTATCTCAAAGTCCATCACAAATCCCTGGACCTGTGGGACAGGAATACATTCCTTCAGCTTCTGAAACACCTGTAATTAAGGGCATTGTCATACTTTTGATATACAACAAAACTACAAATGCTTTGAAAAGCAGCTTTAGTTCCAACATTCCTGTATTTATGTTATTGGCAATTAAAATGCTCTCTTATCGTGCAAATATTGGTAATTTCCTTATTCCGTCTGATATTGATATGCATGCTGACAAATAGACAAGTTCTTGAATGCTTGCAATTAACCTTATTTCGCTATTGTTTTTACATCAAGGCCATGCATGCTGACCGACTGACCGCAAGCAGACAGACAGACAGATTTGCTGCAGGCAGAGACAGACAGACAGATTGGCTGCAGGCAGAGACAGACAGACAGACAGACCGCAGGCAGACACAGACAGATTGGCTGCAGGCAGAGACAGACAGACAGACAGACAGATTGGCTGCAGGCAGCAGACAGGGACAGACAGACAGATTGGCCTGCAGGCCATGAGGACAGACTAGACGGATTGGCTCTGCCATGCATAGAGATAGACAATGAGAGACTAGACCGCATGGCAGGACACTTAGACAGATGGCTGCCAGCGCCATGGAGACTAGACAGACATGATTGGCTGCAGGCAGATGATAGATAGAGAGACATAGACCGCATGGCAGACAACATGACAGATTTGGCTGAGGCAGAGACAGCAGACAGACTGGTAGGCAGACACAGACAGATTTGCGCTGCAGGCATTAGACATGACTATGACAGACCGCAAAGGCAGACACGATTGGCCTGCAGGGCATGAAGACAGACGGACCGCAGCAGAAGCATCTCGCAGGACAGACAGACACTAGAACAGCATAACAGACAGAAAAAATATTGTACCGCCTTCAGTCTCTTGTTTTTCTCCTGGCATCTAGGCAAAACACCGAGGGGGGACTTGTGTTGCATGCTGGCACCTTTCTGTATAAATATGTGGATTGACCACATTTAGTGAAAGGGGGCAGTGACAACATTGAATCACAAAACCAACGTTTTGCGTTTTGGAGCAGCTCCAATTGGATGGGCGATGCGAATATGAGGTGTCGTTGATCGTCTACACGTACATCTCCGATGAGGAACTCATCCAATTTCAAATAGTCTGTGTCTATCTATAAAATAAATGCATGTTATCGTAATAAATATTTATAAAATAACTATGTATATTATAATATGGAACCGTAGCAGACATGATAAAAATTCTGTTATCATTATATCAGTATATTGTATATAAAACGATAACAGATATATTACTGCTGGAAGGATCTGCCATCTTTGTCATTGATGTTTGATGATTTTTAGTCGCTGGGCGCCTGGTCATCCAGATTACTTAGTGTTCACATATTTTTAATCATATCTGTGTAATTAAATTATTCGTGAATTATACTTTACTTCAAATCAAGGTCCGTGGTTTCTGTCGGTCTGAGGTATGGCTTTCGCTGCTCGCGACGCTTTGTTTGCCAGTCACGCTTTAAATTTTCTAGTTTAGGCTGTCCGTTGCTTCCTCCGGTTCGTTGTGACCTAACATACATTCCTCCAACCATTGCGCCGGGCAGCCAGTTGCACTGTTCGCGTGAAGAAGTTAACTGAAAAAGCAGAAAGGCATAGAGGGTATTTTTACTGCAAAGGCAGTAGAAAAATATATGTAGAGCAAATCTGTACTATAATATATATATAAATAAACCATTTGTTGTCTACGTTTGAGAAAGCGTTTTAGGGCACAAGCGCTACAGTGGGCCTATTAGGAAGCTATGCACTGTTTATACATAAGTTTATCTAATGACTTGACTTGAAGTCGTACAATCAACGTTTATCTTATAACATTGATACCTCCGTTCCATTAATACTTTCGTCAGTGCAGGCCTTGTCTGCCTGGTGTGAGTGTTCTCTGAGTTGACTTGATACTCACTTTCCTTACTGCGAAACAGTTGCTGCGCGACATTGAGACTTTTGATCGTTTTGAGCAACGCCAGTAAGTAAAGTTGGGCCTCTGCAACCTACAAGACATAACATATAAAACCTGTGACAGATATGCTTAAAACTGTAAATGCATATCATATATCAAGAGTACATATAGAAATGCTATTATGTGACTCTTGACAATTATATTATATATATATATCAAAAGAAGATAATAGGGATTCCTTCCCTTATTAGGAGTTCCTATTTATAAGGGGTTCCCTAATTATCTACTTCGTGAATAATAGTACTATATTCATCTATATAATTATTATATATATGTAATATATCCTATTATAATATTATATATTATATATATATATATATATACTTATATATACACTGCCGCCACAGTCTTTTAAGAAAGTAGAAGACAGAAGCGATAAATCCCTCAGTTGATACATAAAAAGCAAGCCGCCGTACTTTATTGCCGCTGCATGCTTTAGGGGGTCGGGGCATGCCACCCCTTGAATAATGTTTGAATGGATAGACGTCTGGATTATTCAATCTGTTCGTGATATATGCGTCAGAGATTTAGGCAACAAGAATTGTCTTACCCCAAATTTTACTGGAATAGCACTGTGCTTCCAGTGCTTCTATCTGCGGGGCACTGTGATATTATATATAATATTATATTATTTAGCACCACAGATAGGGTTTGGTCCCGGTAAAAAACCAATAATCACAAACTTCTTGATACTATTCGCTTAGCCGTTGCTGCTTATAAGTTCTGGGGCCACCACGCTGTGATCCCGCTGCCCCTCACCAATGGTGTAGGTCACTAGGCCTGTCTCTACAAATGGAACTGGGAAGTCTAGGCTCATGTTTATGAGAACTAAAAAAAGGATAAACATATATCACATACAAACATATAACTATTGAGCAAATATTTCTTGTCAGTCATTCGCAGAAAATCGACGTGTACGTTTGTTGTTGGAAAGTGCATCGTCATCAGTCATGTTTGAAATTAGCGTAACGTCGCAGAATTCTATCAAACAATCTATGAGGTGTGCTTACTCTTCAGCTAATTCTGGTTCGTGTTTGATGTCTTGACGTGTGATGTCAAAGCTGGCAGTTAGGTCCGAATGCGGGGGGTTTTGATCTGGCTCTGTAGGCTCATGTGCTGGCTCACTCTCTGCTGTGTTGCTTAAAGTAGTAGCGACGTCAGAAAGATGAAGAAGAGTGTCGAGTGGAACCGGAGCAGACATGATAAAAATTCTGTTATCATTATATCTGTATATTGTATATACCGATAACAGATATATTACTGTGGAAATCTGGCATCTTTGTCATGATGTTGATGATTTTTGGTCAGTATTACTTAGTCTTCACATATTTTAATCCATATCTGTGTAATAAATTATTCTGAATTATACTTACTTCAAAATCAAGCGTCCGTGGTTCTGTCGGTCTGAGGTCTGCTTCGCTGCTCGGACCTTGTTTGCCAGACGCTTTAAATTTTCTAGTTTAGGCAGTTCGTGTCCTCCCGGTTCGTTGTGACCTAACATCACATCCTCCACAATGCGCCGGGCAGGGCAGTGCACTGCTTCCAGTGAAGTAAGTTTAACCTGAAAAACAGAAACATAAGGTATTTTTACTGCAAAGGAGTAGAAAAATATATGTAGAGCAAATCTGTATATATATATATATATAAACACATTTTTTCTACGTTTGAGAAAGGGTTTAGGCACAAGCCTACAGTGCCTATAGGAAGCTATATGCCACTGTTGTACATAAGTTTATCAAGACTTGACTTGAAGTCGTACATCAACGTTTATATAACATTGCATACCTCCTTCCGTATTAATACTTTCGTCAGTGCAGCCTTGTCTGCCTGGTGGATGTGTTCTCTGGAGTTGAGCTTGAACTCACTTCCTTTCTGCGAAACAGTTGCTGGACAATGCAGACTTTTTGATCGTTTTGAGCATCGCCAGTAAGTAAAGTTGCCCTTTGAAACCTACAAAAAATAACATATAAGAACCTGTGACATATGTTAACCTGTAAATGCATATCATATATATCAAGAGTACATAATAGAGAATATAATCATATCAAAAAAAGAGAATATATCAAAAGAAGATAATAGGGATTCCCTATTAGGAGTTCCCTATTATCTACTTCTGAAATAATATATATATATATATATAATATATATATAATATAACATTCAATCAAGTTAATTAATTATA